TATAATGTAAATCTCATCATTCATTCAGTAAATGTTGGCATGAATTGTAAGTCCTGCTCATTTAGCATAACTGATAAATGGACCATACTGCAGCCTTAGACTGAGTTATACTGGCATAACATCAGACAGCTCTTTAAAATGCACTCTACAAGCCATGTGCCTTTTGTCTGTCAAAAACCCTACCCCTCCTTCACCTCCATTTTCAATCAACAGAACAGTCTGATTGGCTGATTTTCCTGGCAGTTTGGTATGATGGTCACAAATTCAGCAAGTCTGTGGCTATGGGAGTAATACCTTAGTGGCAAAACAAGAGCAAAGTGTGTTGGCTAATGAGAGGAAAATGTTCTTACAGCTGTATAGAGTAAGATCAGCCACTTGAACGGGAATGAAAAGAGCCAGGAGTGGTTCACAATAGAGTGAAACTGAACTCAAGTATGAAATCTGATTCATTCCCAACTTCCTTTTGGATGAGCCAGATAGCCTTTCTGCACATCGTTTTCTCCAGCTACACAGCAGGTGTGACCTTTTCCCCTTGATCCACAGGAAACTTGAGATAAGACAAGTTGATAAATGCATGTAAGATACTCTAGTTCATAACATACATATTCCTAAATGGAATCGTCCCTGGAAACAGAAGCAGGATTTGGCATTCTAAAGTCTATCCGTTTCTTCTGGTTGCAGAAAGGCATCATCTGCCCTCTGCTTGTTGTCGGGCTCTGTACAAATAAAGCTTTTCCAGATTCAGGAAAGGGGCTCCTGTCCCATGCCCTGCTAGTCCATCTCAACACCTTCCCTCCCACCACACAGGTCCTACATTTCTCTGTCTTTCTCTGGCTTCACCATCTCAGCCTTTAGCAAATGATTCTTTCAATGTGAATGAAATAAAGATATGCAGATACACAATTTGGCATGGAAATCAGTAGAAGAGCTGCATCTCCAACACTCTAGGGAGAGGGGAGTCAGCAGATCAAACTGAACCAGTGACAGTATATGGTTGGTAATGCAAGTGGTCTTTCATGTTTCCATCAACCAGTGATATCAGAAGGAGTTTAAAAATCTAGCAGCTTCCTAATCTCTCTTTCTTTTTTATTTGGCCCATTAGATTTCAGCTTCATCAGCTGACTCTGGAAGATTGGAAAATTGTAGTACAACATTACCATCCTAGCATTTATACTTCTTGCATCTATTAATATTTTAACAGAGCAATCGAAATGAAAACTATTTCTTGAAATACTTGATAGAAATCCAGCATCTCATCTTGTATTTTATTATATGACCAGTGTTACTGCATCTACAAATGGATGATTGCTGCAATGTAAGCCACTTAAAATAGCTTCCATCAGTGAAGAAACTACATTTTGCTGCCAAAATTTCCAATACCATACAATGGTGGCACACTTCATCTGGTGGGGGAAAAAAAGAGTAGCCATGTGGTCCATGAGAGAGAGAGAAAGAAAAAACCTAAATCACAAATTTGCAAAGTTAACCTTATTAGTAGCCACCTACAGTTTGGCAAAAGGGAGAAGGTACTAGTTTAAATAGTCAAATTTTAACTACCTTAATAGTTTAACTGCCCTATTAACTTGGACAGTTTTCAGCTGGTAACACCTATTAGCAGAAAGAATCTGGGTGGGTGGACACATGAGAAGCAGCTTGCTAATGAATGTGCATGCCAGTGGAAGCGAGTCAAGTCAGCTGGGAAATGCTACAGCCTTTGTGCTGGGGGATTGAAGACTTCTGGGTGTGCGTGCGAGTGTTCCTGAGAGTGGGAATCTAACCTGATCAAAGTTTAGTGAAGCTTATTTGGTAACTGTAAGAGATGAGAATCAAAAAGCACACCCTGGAAGTTACTCCATCCTGCTAGCTTGCTGTCTTCTGCCGTTGCCAATCAGTATGAAAACACTGGGGAGGGAAGCACGACATTCTCTGAGATGCACAATCTCTCAGTGGATTGCTCAGGAAGTCCATCTTTAGTAAGAGGTCCTGCAGCGAAACTTCCTTTGCACCTATTTAAGGAAGGCTATTGTACAGAAACCACATGGGACCTGAACAGGATCATTCTTTTTAATCGTACATGGAATCAGAAGGGAATCCAGGAATATCTCAACAAGCCAGCATACGCTTGTACCAAAGCCGGGCAGCAGTCTAACTCCCTTTACCTATTCTGCATCTTTCTTGGGCTAAATACCACAGACAACCTCTGAACCTGGTCTTCCTCAGTGGCTTGTGGTAGCTTTCTGATCTGTGCTGACAGCAGCATTTGTCATTGATGGGTTCTTCTGAAAATGCTTGTTACCAGGGCAACCATTCTTCCATAATATTGTGCTATCTCTCAAGAGCAACAGATTGATGTCTCTCTCTCTCTCTCTCTCTCTCACTTACACGCGGTCCACTGACGTAGGCAGTGGAAGCACTCCAAGTTCCAATCAGCGCATATCACTATATCAAAATTTCACCCCAGTCCTCTTAAAGGTACAGTGGCTGTGCTTTGCAGCAGTCATGCTGAGCTCCGAATTGCAAGGGCAGCTCTGCACTTTGGCAGCTAGGCAAGAGAATTCAAGGGTTTTGCTGGTTTACAATCTCAAATTTAACCCAGAAATCATTTTGTAGTTGTTCTGAGCCAAGTCATTGATTTATGCAATACCGAGAACCTGTTATCTGATCTACTGTAGCTTGTGGCAGCTGGAAAACAACACCCGGCTTGAGCTGGCTTTCAGGTGTTTCAACTTATGCCAAGCCAGCTGTATGTGAGGCAGAGGAAGAAGCTGTACTATACACAAGCATCCATTAATTCTGCAAGGAGGTGTGGCTTTCTGGATTCCTGATCAATAAACTAAAAACTAAAGGGCATGCTTTCTGTCTCTTGCAACTTATATATAAGCATGGGGGGGGGGCACAGAATCATGCCCACTGGTGCTGACACATGTGCCCACACACTAGCTTTATCAGCAGCTCTATGTTTGATATTTGTGCAAAAATGCTGTGCCTGTGTAGAATTCTTCCTACCAAAGGGGATTCCAATAAGCAAGAACCCAATGTCTATATATCTAGTTTTTTCTTACTAATATTAAACATGCAGCCACCAAAGTGGTAGTGAAAAATAGGCACATCAGCATGAAAAGTGTACAGGTAGTCCTTGGGTTACGACCACTCATTCAGTGACTGTTCAAAGTTACAGAGGCACTAAATGAGGCAGACTTACAACCAGTCCTCAGAATTCCAGCCATCGCAGCGTCCCCACAGTCACGTGATCACAATCCAGGCGCCTGGCTCGTGATTACATCACACCAAGCCGTGGTCATGTGATTTCGATTTCCGATGTTACCTGCTGGCTTCCCACAAGCAAAGTCAATGGGGAAGCCAGCAGGAGGCCGCAAGTTGCTCCCACTGGTTTTTCACCCACCTGCACCTGCCCATGGCACCCCCCCGCTCCCCGTGGCACCCAGGCACCTGCCTGCAGCACCCTCCTGGCCTGCTTGTCTGGAACTCCTGCCTCTTCCTGCTTAATGAGTCGCATGGTCCTGGAGTTATGACAGCAACTGGGACTGTGGGATTGCTGTCGCTAAGCAATGCAGTCATGTGACATCATGCTGTACAACTGCATTGCTTAACAACAGAAATTCCAGTCCCAATTGCTGTTGTAAATTGAGGACTACCTGTATAATTAAATCATGCAATTCTGTTCTCCTAGACAACTGGGGGTACATCTGAAGACTCCTGTAGATGCCTGCTGTGCTTGTTTTCCTAGGAAGAGCATTTATAGCAATGGAGCAACAGAGTTTATGAGTGCCTAGTTGTAGCAATTCCTCTATTCAAAACCAACTGAAACCTTTTGAAAGAGCTGAAATAATATGTATTATTTCTATGAAGTACTAACTAAAGATTTTCCTTGCTTGTCTTCAGGACTAAATTTGTATTTGCTAGCCATCATGAGTGATAGATTACTGCAAGTGATTGGCAAGTCAGAACCACTTCTGCAAGTGGTAACGGAATTAACAGGGACTTCTTGTTGTTATTAAGGAGATACTGCCATGGAATTAGAAAGGTTTAGCTATTTTCAAGGAAGTATAATAAATGTATATGGAACAATGGTGTGCAGTTGAGGAAACACGTCGTTTAAAGAAATCTCTCTTTAAAAAACAAAATCCCACTCATTTCCTGTCTGCAAATCCTCCCTGATTCCCTCCAGTTGCTCTCTAGGGTAGGAAAAAGGTTCCAAAACAGTTTTAAGGTGGTCTGTACAAGTAGCAGTTGTAATATCACTAGCCTGGACCTTACTGAAATGGAGAGTGCCCAGATATCCAAATCACTGGGGAAAAAAATACAAGTTATTTGTGTGGTTTGGGAGGAGGAATATCATCAAGAAAATTTGCTGGGGATCTGCGTCATGTATTGCACAAGACAGCAAGATATCCCAGCACCAGATAAAATGCCAGTGTTCATTCTCCCTCTGCAATTCTACTTTTACAAAAAGTATTTATGGGGTTATGTGCCTGAACTTCAATATTGGGAGTTTATGAAAGACCGTTCATGGTCTCATGATCTCTCTCCCTATAATATTTTGCCTATTCTTCAGTCCCTTTTAATTCATCCTGTTCATGAAGGGTGGGGGTGGGGGGGAATTAAAGGGAAGTATATAATTCAGGAAAGGCAACTAATCTAATGTCTCTCCACACCTTTTTTTTTTTTTTTTTTGGTGCCTGCAGATTTCTTGGCAAATTTTTCAGAAGTGGTTTGCCCTTGCCTTCTTCCAAGGGCTGAGAGAGAGTGACTGGCCCAAGGTCACCCAGCTGGCTCTGTGCCTCAGCCGGGACTAGAACTCAGGGTCTCCCAGTTTCTAGCCTGGTGCTTTAACCACTACACCAAACTGGCTCTCTTCTCCCGCCTAAGTTTTAAAAACAAGCCCTGCACATTCTTAGAATTGCATGGGGACTCTCTTCCCTCTAGTAGTTTCTTGAGAGTTATAACTTGACCGTGCAATTATCAGGTGACCATGTAAGGCTGATCAGACGATGGTTCTGGGATGAAGAAGCTGGAAGATCCCCATGCTGCTACCAGGGAACCCGTGCCGGAGCTTTTTAAGAGTTGACGACAGGTAAGACCCCCTCCTTTTCACCTACCTCTGAACATTTTTCTAGAAATAATTTTATTCTCTGCTAAAGAGACAGAACAAGTAATGGAATCACACAAATGCTACAGGCGGAATTTCTCCTGGCTTTATGTGGGACTATGCATTATGGCTTCTTCTTTGTGTTTTGTTTTTTGTCCTAATCGAGCAGCGTTCCTAGGAGACAGACAAGTAGGATGCCTCCCCTTTACAGAGGGCAGTTCCTTATCTGAAAGCCTAGCCAATATAAGTCTGCTTTTAAGACACAAACAGAGAATAGGGGTCTTGAAATTTCCCATCTGGACTTCATGTCTGAATATGACACTGAGCAGGTAGAAATCAGCTACATACAAACTGCCTTTCTGTAGTGAGACATGCAATATTTCCATTTTAGTTATAGCAGTTCTTTCTAAATTTGCATCTATACGTTTCACTGCATATACCAATTTAATCCCATCTGTAATCTTTTCTGTGATAATGCTTTACTTTTCTCCTCCCATGGCTTCTAGCATGTCATTTTCACTTGTGATAACAGATAATACAGAGACGAGAAAGGGTGAGTAAAAATCAAAGCTCTGCTTTTAACAGATTAAAGTTTAAATTGTATAAAAGGCGTAGATTTTAAGGATAGTTTCTGTTAAAAAAAACAGAAGAAAGAAAAATATAGGTAAGGTGGTGCTTGTACCAAGGCGTGTCCCTCTTGGTGATGTGTTTCTATTTCCTCTCCTGACCTCCATGCCCAATTCTAGGCATCATCTAGCCTGGCAGAATGAATGACTGACTTCCCTGGTATGAACTTTAAATATTCAGAATGCTTGTCTTAGGCTCAGCAGCTTTTGCCAAGGGAGTCAGCAATTCCATTGCATAAGTTCCATAAATTATTTTCATTCATTTCAGCTGCCTGGGCAGGCAGGAATGGCTAGTACGTCTTTGTTCATTCCACCTGTCTCAGCAGGAAGGGATAGCCAGAATGTCTGGCTAGGAGGACAGAGGACCAAAGGATTTGAAGAGAAGTGAAAGGAGGAGAGGGAATGTGTCAGCCTGTGCCAGGTTCTTGCTGAACTTATTGTATTGAGCTAGTTAACCTTTGCTTTCCTCGCTTCATGTCTTTCCATGGTTTCTAGCATCTAGCTGCTGCCAGCAGGAGCCTGTCACAGAAAAATAAGTATTCAGAAGCAGATCAAATCTTACGTTTTAGGGAAGGTGAAGAATAAATAAAGAAGCAGAGAGGAGGGAAAGCTGTGAAGCAGAAACAGGATCAGAATGTTCCATTAAGAGCCTGGTGCCTTGTGGGCATTTAGAACTCAGCGGGTGGGGCAGATGGAAGGCCTGCTCTTTAATATTCTGGGCCGGGAGGTCTTCTCTCTTGTCCTACCCAGGTGCCAGCTGTTGCCATACAAATGGGCTTGTTCTGCAACTAACCAGGGGCCTTCTGGTGGGAGCATAGCTAATACCAGTGCTAGTCTAGAATGTCTCCCTGATTGTGAGCAACACAGCACTCAGGGCCACCATTAATTCTCCTGATGTTTCTATTCCTGTGGTTCGTAAAGCTCCCCCGTTCCCCTTTCCAGCATGGGTTTGGTAGAAATAAAGATGTAATTTTAGACTCTCATCTAGGTAGTCTTGCAAGGGAATTTCTCTATGCACATTTTAAATGACAATGTGTGTTCATTTCCTTATTCCAGAAGGTAGTTAGCCTGCATTTGAGGCCTCATTTGCTCATTTGTGCTGGAAGTGATAGTCAAAAGTCCTATCCTGGCCATGTCACTGCAGAGAATAATCACTGCTTACCCCAAGGACCTTTTCCTAGCGCTCCTGCTGCAATCTCACGCTTTTTATTCCTTGTTTTTCCCTTTTCACCACTGTGACTGCATTACCCATGAAGAAAAATACATTCTTTGACCATGCAAGTGAATACAGCAAACACTTGTGTCTGGGGACCAACACCTCAGGCACATCCATTTTCCCCTTAGAGCCAGGCACCTCCCGATCAACCATGCTTTATGCTTTCTTTCCTGGGGTCCCCACTCCCTTTTAAATTCATAGGTTTTTCTGTGGTTTTCATTCATTGTTGGTATTATTGTATTTTAGCAATTTTACTATAAACAGTTTTGAGATGTGATCGCACGGCATGGGGTTGTTGTTGTAGGGAAAAACAGGAGAAGGGAACACTACGTACACCACCTTGAAAGGTGCTATATAAATCTGGTAGGTGGATAGAGAATTTATAATCCACTGAATTTTCCACCACAGTTGCCAATGGAATACCAATTAGCTTAATAATTTGGGGCACAGCTGCATGCCAACCCCTGGGGGTGGATTCTCAAACACTAAGTTGAGAGATTTAATCCCAAACACTGCATGCTCTTCATCTCTATTAGGCAGCACACTGAAACTGCATGCTTGATTGAGAATATATTCATCTGGACTGAAAGCTCCTTTATTGATATGTTTCAGTTGATCCCAGTTACAGCTTATTTCACTTTTTCATTTAGTTCCCAGCATTCTTCCATCCAGCAACTTACTGTATGTAGGAAGACATGCTTTGCTCCAGCAGTAGAATTAAATCACAACACTTTCGCATCAGAAATGCCTTGGAAAACCTTGCTGTCACTTGTCAGTGAAAAGCAACCTTTTTTAAAAATTAAAAACAAATTCTGTAGAAAGTTGACCTCTTCTGAACAGATATTCTTTCATAACAAGGCCATATTGCTCATGTATTTCATTCTTGCACATAAAATAGCTATCCACTTGCTTGCCTTCACTGGATGCTTCTGTCTCCCCAAGGAAAGCAGTGAGCAATTGCATTTGTCACATGGGTTTTTTAATTTTATTTTTAATACTTTTATTATTCACTGTAAGTAAAAAGCACATTAAAAAGAAAAAGAAGGAACAAAATGTGTGTGTGTGTGTGTGTGTGTATATATATAATGCATATAATGATAAAGAGAAAAAAGGGGGAAATCTTTCTCCTTCTCTTTTTTAATAAAGCATTGTAACAATTATAAAGCAGCTCAATTTTTTTGGTCATATGTACATTGAAAATATGTATGTCATTTGTCATATGTAGATTGACAAAATCAAGAAAGAAATGCTTGGGTAGCTGAAACTGTGCATTATAGATTTCTTTCCAAAATATGGGACAGAGCATCCAGTTATGACCCAATAATCTTGTGCTAGTGTAACATGTTTGTGTATTCTCTTCAACACATTTTACCTTGAAATAATATTTGAGATAGCCCCGCATTTCCCAACTTTATGTCCTCCAGATGTTTTGGACTTCAACCACTGTAATCGCCAGCCAGTATACTTATTCTAGTTGGGACAGTTGTTGAAGTCCAATGTATCTGGAAAGCACTAGGCTAAGGCAGAATAAAGCTAGGATGCTCATAATTATTTCACAGAAGGAATACTAACACTGTGATGTCCTAGCTTTGCTGTCCAAAATTGGAGCCTCAAAATAATGGATGGTGCCTAATTTGTTCTCATTGTTCTCCATTATTGTCATTTCTCAAAACACCTTTAAACAATTGATTTTTAAATCTACATTTCCATGTTTGACCTCTTGCTTTATGTTCAGTTCAGTTTCCCTGGTAAAAAGGAGTTCTAAGAACCATGGCAAATTCCTATCTACTCCCCCACAGCATGTGGCAAATAGAATCCAAAACTTTGAAGGGGCTACTGAGGTCAGCCTGAATCTCTTACATGAACCCAAAACAAGCATCCCCAAAGGATGACTGTCTAGCCTCTGGTGGTGCCCATTCAGTGATATGGAGTCCACCACTTCTCTGGGTAATTGGTTCCATTGACAAACAGCTCTTAACATTTAAATATTTATTGAGATTCTATTTTCCCCTGTGCCTTAATGTCATTGTCATGCTGTTTATTTGTTCCACCACCTTTGCCAGAGGCCAAAAATATGGAGTAGGGAAATGGAACATTACAGCATCTCAAGAGATTTTGTATCCTTATCATTTTATTAGCTCTAAGTGCTCCCAATTTCCCATCTATCTGTTAATAGGAAAAAATAAAATAATTCAAGCACTGAGTCCCTGAGCATACAGATAATTTAGGTAATTTACTCTGTATGATTTTATGACACTTAGAATATGCTGCTTTGCTGCTTACAAACCAGTCTGGACATTGACAACAGAGTAATAAAAATCACTCTGAACTTTATTAAAACATCATTTTTCTTTAACTTCCAAGGACAATGAAATAATTTAATTACATGTCAACACAATGGCAATGCATAATAAACTGAAACTGATCTCTATGGTTAGGAATATATATTGAAGCATTTTGAACATTCAGCTCTTATTCTTACCTTTTCCTTTTCAGAAAAAGATTCATCTCTCTGTCCCTGAGGCCCTAGGACCGAACCTTTAATTACTTAGATCATTCAATAACTTGACAGTCAATAAAGAGCTTAACTAGATGCAGTTGGGCTACTTGAGACCCACCTCAAAAAATACAGAATGCAAAGAGACATTTTAGCAAAGGAAATAACCATAAAACAACAATTTGTCAGCTCAAAAGGGGCTTAATGGGATTTCTCTAGCATGGATTCAGGCAATTTTAACAGAATAATACTTAAGACTAAGGTAAAATATAGTTGGTATATGTTCAATTGTCTCATATGATAATTCCTAGATTTACACAGCCTGAATAACCTTTAAGTCCCGATGTTGCTGACCTATAGTCACGGTATCCTTCATCATACCCTCTGGTGATATGGACTGCTGAAAGCTATAATTCAACAACATTTGGAAGGGCACAGATTGCCAATCTTGCCACTGACAGTACTGATTGCGAACTATGGAAGTCGTAATCTAATTTATTGAAAGTGCTGAAAAAGAGATAGGGAAGGTTTGTTTATACAAAAGGCTGTGGGGGGTGGGGGGAAGGAAGGGAAGAAAGAGATATGTGAGGTTATTATGGTTGATCTGTGCCTTTTCTAATGCTTGTCTCCATGTGAAATTGATACT